CAGTTACTATTAGTATCTTCTTGAGAGTTTTAAAAAATAACATTACTGTCTTTGGAGAGAATTTTTTTTCATTGTAGGAAAATATATTTCGTAAAGGAAATAAATTTGAAAGAAGTGATTGCTCACAAACTCCCATGCCCTCATGACTCATCTCCAAGTAATTGAATTCCCTTGAATTTGAGCTCACTCTCAGTAGTAGAGATGGAGGTAAAAGGAAAGTGGAAAGTTCAGAAGGTAAGTCTCAAGAAAAACTCAGTGTTGGGGGAAGCTAGAAAAAATCCAAAATGAGACAAGTGATATTATCTTGAGAACTATTGACAAAGCATAAACAAAAGACTTTTAAAATTTGTTTTTTAAGCTTCATTTTTGCCTAGGGATATAATTCATTAGGTTATTAAATCCATACATGCGTGTTTACTTCTCCCTTCTGTTCTTTTAAGAAAAATATGTATCAGATGGTCATGTTCAAACTTTTTAGTTTTGCTTATTGATTTATTCAAAATGCGATACTAGGCCTCGTGCGGTGGCTCACACCTGCAATTCTAGCATTTCGTGAGGCCGAGGCGGGCAGATGACCTGAGGTCAGGAGTTTGAGACCTGTCTGGCCAACATGGTGAAACCCCGTCTCTACTGAAAATACAAAAAGTAGCCTAGCATGGTGGTACACGCCTGTAATCCCAGTTACACAGGAGGTGGAGGCAGTAGGATTGCTTGAACCTGGGTGATGGAGGTTACAGTGAGCCGAGATCATGCCACTGTACTCCAGTCTGGACAACAGAGACTCCATCTCAAAACAAACAAACAAACAAAACTACCATACTAGAGGTTTCTTCCTAATGAACTTTGTTTCATTTCTCCTTTATCAAAGCTAGGGATGTTTAATAAGAAAATGTAAAAGTGGAGTTGAATGGGTAGGAGGGAGAAGGCATAGATACTTGGGGAAAAAAAAACTTCAAACTCCTCCTTACAGTAAAAAAAAACAAAAAAATCAGTATTTTAAAGTTCCAACACCTTGCCTTCTCAGCTGTTGGCGTGGGAGTTCAAGACTAAATCATGTTATTTTAGGAAAAATCAATAGGTCTCATAAAATTACCAATCTCTTTATGAACAGAAAACAATGTTTCTGAAAGCAAATATGATTTGTTGTTCTTTTATACATGTATATTTATACAAATCAATAGGAGATATGAATAACCAGAAAATTCCATGGCAGCCCCTGATAAATCACTTTTTCTCCAATTGTGAGAGAAGGAAGAATTTTTTATTTGTATCATGGAACTTTCAGAGTAAATTTCCACGACTTCTCCAGCGCCCCAGATGTGACAAGTATAAACCAAAGCCTGTTGTTCACCATAACTTTCAGTCCGTCTCTTTGGTCTGATAAACCCAAAACAGTCCTTAAACATCAATTCTGCTGGCTGGAGGAGTTCCTTACCATCCAGAAAATGTCGGTAGTCACCCAGGAGCTTCAGTGGGAGCCACAGGAAAACCTGTGAAATGAGAAACATTGGGCTGGTATTTAGGGCATTTTGGCTCCGTGATGGAGGATACTTTATCCTTTGGATTTGCCATCTGTAAAATAGGAACAACCGGTGTCTTTCACATACCAATGATAGTAAATGGAGATGATGAACACATTTGCAGAAAAATCTCCAAATTTATTAAATCCAAACACAGAGGCCTTATTTCTTCTGGGCTATTAGCTTCTACCTACTTTCCTGTCTCAGTCACAACTTGGCAGACAATAGATGGAAAGATGAAGAGGGAACAAGTTGGGAGGTCGAGGGAATCTACCAATTAAGAAGTTGATGCTTCTCTCAACACCAGCATGTTTTTCACCAGATGATCTCTACAAGACAGTCTAGCATAATTAGTTAAGAATATAGAGCTTTTCCTCAGCTAGACAAGAAGAATAAGTTTGATTTTTTAGATTAATTAATTGCACAGCATGGTGAATATAGCTAACAATTTAGTTCTGTACATTTCAATATCACTAAGATAATAAATTTCTAATTTTCTCATCACAAAAACGTTAAATATTTGAGATGATGGATGTTAGTTTAATTTAGTCTTTCTATATTGTGTTTAAAAATTGTAACACCACTTTGTACCCAATAAATATATACAACAGTTTGTCAATATATAATAAAAATCATTTTAAAAAGAATATAGGGCTTTTGAGCCAAATAGACTTGGGTTTGAATCTCAGCCCTCCCACTTACTTATGGAGGAATCTGCAGCAAGCCACTAACCTTTCAGAATCATTTTCTCCCTCTGTAAAATGAGGATAAGAATGGTTTTATTCTATTGCTTTCACGATTACATGAAATTTCAGATGTAAAAGAAATACAGTATTAGGCCCAAAATAAACACTCTGTAAGTCATGGTAGTGGTAGTGGTGGTAGTGGTGTTGGTAGAGGTTGTTATGTCTTGCCTTTTTCTTGACATCCATATCCATCAGATGTCTGGTTTCTTTTAGCATTGTTGTAGGTGGGCTTAGTGCCCGTTTTGTAAGCTGGTACAAAAGGCCATGAGTCTTCAGCAGTTAGGTGCCTATTTTGGTCGTTTTTAAAAGATGACTTCTGTCTTTGTAAAACTTCTACTCACCTTTTATTGTGTGTGGAGGGGAGGTAAAACAACAACCCACATTTATTTTCTCACATAATTTCTGTGGGTAAAAGATTCAGGAGTGGCTTAGCTGGGTGGTTCCAGCTCAGGGTCTCTAATGAGGTTGTAGTCAAAATATCGGCTGTGGCTGTAGTCATCTGATGGCTTGATTGAGGCCAGAGATTCCACTTCTAAGATGGCTTCCTCCCATAGTAGGCAAGTTGATGCTGGCTATTGTCAGGAGGCCTCGGCTCCTCACCCTGTGGACTTCTCCATAAGGCTGCTTGAGTATCCTGATGCATTGGAGCTGGCTCCAGTGAACTTGGAGGCAACACTACTACAGTTCCCAGCATGGCTTTCTTCCCACCACTGCCCTCCTCTGCCCCCATTCCTGGACTCTCCCAGACTGAGATTTGTAGTTCTAGCCCATGGGTGGCAGCAGTGGCATGGAAGCATTCCTGAAATCTGATTTTCCTTGCTAGTAGGCAGTGAGACTGCAAGTTCCAACTCAAGTCCTATTCTGACCCACTAGGGTTTGCCCTGCTCAGAATCACTTTCCCTTCTCCAGGGGAACAAACTCTTCTCCCAGTGCTCCTTATACCTCACATCTCCCTGTTCCTACTCATCTCTATGAAGACAAGTTTATTTTAGGTCATGATTCTGAATCTTAGAGATTTTTCAGGCAGTCAATAAATAGATTTATTTTAAGTCATGATTAGTTGGTTGTCATACTAATTACCCAGAGCTTTCAGCAAAAGTTCCTTCCTAATATGCTCATGGGACAAGAGGAGCCATTCAGCTAAGCTGAATTGAGAGCTTGTTTTATGCCACTCATCCTTAACTAAGTGGTAAGGCCTGTAATAGGGAGTGTTAAACTCAGAGGCCCTAACCCAGCAGAGTTCAGTCACTCTGAAAATCGTCGAAGCTAGTAAGCTTTAAAATAATAAATTCTGGGGGAAACCAATGTCTTTATGGAGTCCAGAAGCAGGGAAGTAAACATATCAGCTTTCTCCAGTTCCTCATAGCTCTATTTCCTTACGGCCATCACCAGTAGGCCTCAACTCCACCAGTTCTTGAGCCAGCACTCATAAGGTCATGAAGACTGTTGACAGTTTAACTCCTCATCTACATGACTATGAGAGTTAGGGTATAAGGGGAGCTGGAATACAGTCTTGCTGCCAGAAAACTCTGTATCAATGGTAAGAGTAATGGCCAATTTTCAGCATTCCTCTATCTTCTGCAGTAATGGTCAACCTTGAGTTACTGAAAATCATGACTTATGCCACTGTTGATATGTGAACTCTCAGTCCTCACTCTCTCTGAGGCTTGGAGTTGGATGTAATAAAGAGGTCAGAGTTTCACTCCTTTCTTCTCGAATTACACAGAGTCCATCACTTGCCCTCTCTGAGTCTTAAACATCTTCCTGGAATGACCTAGAAACAAGGGGACTTTATGTTTTCAGATGATACTATCCATATGCTAGATACTTCTCCCATGATGTTTATATGGAAAAATCTGCCAGTACCCCTTGGTGTAGTTTGGATATTTGTCCCTTCCAAATCTCATGTTGAAATTTGATCCGCAATGTTGGAGGTGGAACCTGGTTGGGAGGTGTTAGGTCATGGGGATGGTTTCCTCATGAACAAGTTATCTTGATGTTGTCCTCTGGATAATGAGTGACTTCTTGCTCTATTAGTTCCTGTGAGATCTAATTGTTAAAAAAGAGTCTGGCACCTCTGTCCTCTCTCTCTTGCTCCCTCTCTTGCCATGTGACATGCTGGCTCCCCTTCTCTTTCTGCCATGATTGGAAGCTTCCTGGGGCCCTCCTCAGATGTAAATGCTTATACCATGCTTCTTGTACAGTTTGCAGACCGATGAGCCAAACAAACTTTTCTTTTTAGAAATTACCCAGCCTGAGGCATTCCTATACAGCAACACAAATGGACCAAAACACATCTGGAAAAGATATTTGCAAATGAGAATGATTAAAAGCCATTTGGACACAAAAAAGATGGAAGAAAGAGGAACACAAGTGTCCTCTATACAGTTGCTACTACCGGTGACAAATGCATTTGAGGATGCCTAGCTCAATGTACTGCCTCCACTATAAAGTCAACTCAAACCCATTTGATGGTTGGTTCTTTAGCCATCCCTACGGATATTGATTCCATTTTTTATTCACATATAATGCAAGTTAAATGAACATTTCCTGGATGCAATTTCATTCTGTTTCTTTCTTGGATTATTTTTTACGAAGAAGATCAGATGGCTTGGGAACAAGTTTCTCTGGCACAGCTCTGCAGGGCCTCCCTGCAGACTGAATCTCCGAGGCCTGGTGGCAGGTCACAACCAGTTTCCTTTGTGATGATACATCCTTGCAGAAGATAGGAAGACTTGACAGCCTGACAGACACTTAAAGTGTGAAGATGAATAAAAGATACATCACTCCTGATGAGTATATTTTAAAAAGCTGTCAGTTGATGTAAGCAGTATTCTAAAAACATACAGTACCATATCAGGGCTAGAGGGTGTTGGATACAAAAATGGGTTGGCAGATGGACAATTTTTGATAGTCAGGTCTATGCGGATGTGAAAACCAAGCTGAGAAGAAGTTTGTTAGTCCTCATCTGTTGCCCTGCTTTGCAAATCATATTTAGGAGCTTTGCTTTCTGTCTCTTTGATTTCTTTTTAAGGCCTACATTATTAGCCAGTAGGTAGACTAGATGATGACTTAGGTGCTATATCTAATATGAGTGGTGACAGGCATGAAATTCTAGCTAAAACATATTGTTCACTGATTGTTGCTTTGCCTGAAATTTCACTATCACAGCTTCTTATTTGGGAAATGTACTACAACTCAGAAACTCTGGAAAAGGGAAATCTTCAGATTACTTTAATGAGGATTGATTTCCATCCATTTGTTGTACTAAAGCATTAGGAATTGGAGGTCAGCCAGAAGTCAGGTGAAAGGGCAGAGAACAGAAAGGAAAAGTCAGAAGTCACAAAATTTTTATATTATTAGCTTCACATTCTCATAGAAACATTTAAGTACATGCAACCAGCATTTATCTGGTGCATGAATCTGCTTTGAAACATTCCCATTAAGTGTTAATCCAATCTCTGAATACCTCTAGTAATAGGAACCTCTTTTTTTAATGAAGAAACTCATTCTATTGTTATGCAGTTTTAAACTTAGAAGGTTCTATATTGTAGGATTCCCAAATATGCTACCTTGAAGGTTCCATACTACTGATGTTTGCTCTTCATAGAATTAGACTGCCTCCTTTTACCCACGAAGGCTCTCTGATATGTAAAGACAGCTTTCCTGATCCCTACCCCTGATTAAGCTTTTCCTACCATTTCTTAAAATATTTTTCAAAAGACAGCTGGATAGAGATTATAGTGAGCAGCCAATAGGGGAGAGAGCAAATGGCTCATGGCCCTTCAAGAGCATCTGTAGAAATACACACAAATAAATTTTAAATGACTTAAAATGCCACATGTTGGCAAGAGTGTATGATTATAACACTCATACACTGCTGGTGAGAATGCAAAAGGGTAGAGCCACTTTGGGAAACAGTTTGCAGTATCTTTTAAAGTTAAGCACAGACTTACCTCATGACCCACCACTAGATATCTAAACAAAGATAAATGATTGTGGTAACTATTTCACAATGTGTGTGTATATCAAAATATCATGATGTACACCTTAAATATGTACAATTTTATTTGTCAATCATATCTTTTTTATTATACTTTAAATTCTAGGGTACATGTGCACAACGTGCAGGTTTGTTACATATGTATACATGGGCCATGTTGGTGTGCTGCACCCATTAACTCGTCATTTACATTAGGTATATCTCCTAATGCTATCCCTCCCCATACCCCCCGAAACGAGGGCCCAGGTGTGATGATAATTTTCCCGCTTCCTGGGCTGTCCAGGAGTGTTTTTTCTCATTGTTTCAATTCCCACGCTCATGGAGTGGACAAGAACAGTGCGGCGGGGCGCGCGGCGGCAGTGTTTGGTTTTTTTGTCCCTTGTGATCGTTTGCTGGCGTGGAGAGCATGACTGGTTTTCCGAGCTTCCATTCAGATGTGTCGGCCTGCAAAGGACATTTGAAAACCTCATCGCTGTATTTATGGCATTGCATGTAGTACTCCGATGGTTGCTAGTTGGTGTCCACAATTTTCTTAATCCGTCGCGTGTCACTTGATTGGCATTTGGGTTGGTTCCAAGTCTTTTGCTATTTGGTGAATAGTGGACACAAGTAAACATTGATGTGTTGGCCTATCTCTTTATAGCAGCCATGATTTGTAATCCTTTGGGCATATACCCAGTAAGGGGATGGCCTGGGGTCAGTGGGTGATAGTTTTTCTAAGTGTTCTAAGACTCCTCCGAGACAGGTTGCCGACCACTTGTCTTCCGACAGATTGGTTTGACTAGTTTACCAACTCTCCCAACACAGGGGTTGTAAAAGTGTCTCCTATTATGGTTTCACCATTTTCCTCTCCCAGCAGCCTGTGTTGTTTTCCGTGACTTTTTAAATGATGCGTCGTCATTCTAGCCTGATGTGAGGATGGTATCTCACTCGTGCAATTTTTGATTTTGCATTTCCGTCTGATGGCGGTAGTGATGATGTGAGGCATTTTTTCATGTGGTCTGATTTTGCGCTGACATAAATGTCTTCTCTGAGCCAGTGTCTGGTTCATATCCTTTGTCGCCCATTTTTTGGATGGGAATTGTTTGTTTTTTTCTGTCCAAAAATTTGGTTTGAGTTCTTTGTAAGATTCTGGATATTAGCCCCTTTGGGTTCAAATGCGCAGTAGATTGCAAAAAATTTTTCTCCCATTCTGGTAGGTTGGTCCTGTTCACGCTCTGATGTAGTTTTGGTTTTTTTTTGTTTTTTTTTTTTTTTTTTTGCTGTGCAGGAAGGCTCTTTAGTTTAAATTAGATTCCCATTGTCTATTCGGCTTTGTTGCCTGATTACTTTTGGTATTTTGACATTGAAGGTCATTGCCCATGCCTATGGTTCGCTTGAAATGGTATGTGCCTAGGTTTTATGGTTCTAGAGTTTTTATGTGGTTTCTAGTCTAACATAAGTCGTGTAAATCGCCATCTGAATTGAGTTTTTATAAGGTGTAAGAAACCAGTTTCAGCTTGTTACATATGCTAGCCATTTCCGCAGCACCATTTATAATTAAATTGCCTTTCCCCATTTCTGTTTTTGTCAGGATTGTCGAAAGATAAGATGTTGTAGATGGTGGTAGTGATGGTTCTTGACGGTTCTGTCTGTCCGGCACTTGTATTATCTCGTGTGTACTAATTCTGTTTTGTTACTGTAGTTGCTGTGTATTAGTTTATCAGGTAAACGTATGCTCCAGCTGCTTTTCTTTGTAGGATTGACGTTGGCAAGTTTGGGCTCTTTTTTGGTCCATGAGTATTGAACTTTAAAGTACGTTTTTCCCCAATTCTGTGGAAAGAAGGTCGTTGGGGTACCTTAATCGGGATGGTATTGAAGGTCTGTATAAATTAACCTTGGGCAGTATGACCCATTTTTTCATCAATATTGATTCTTCCTGATCCATTA